CTTTGCATCAGTGGTTGACCCAAATTAATAGCTTTCTAGTGTTTCTAGTGTTGTAACATAGATTGCAACAGCAATGTCCCACAAACATTCAATGAAACAAATTATCAAGTTTGTTTTTTTGGTAAATTTGAATAGAAAGCTCTGACCTCTGACCTTTGAGTCAGTTCAAATGAAAAGTGTACTGTATTATTTGATAGAAATTATGAACCATATTAAGGTTTAACATGTTTTGGCCAATAAAGCTAAAACGACTTTGCTTGCATTTCTAGTTAGAAAAAAAATCCCAAGATTGGTCTGGATTGATGCCTTCAGCCATCTGATCTCATTCCTCCAGAATATCCACCGTCCTGTCCTCCCATGATAGTATTAAACTGACTTTCAAATTAATCCAGTGTCCTGACCCCAATCAATCTTCATCGCAACCTGTTCCAGTTGTTAATTTATTTGTGCTTACGGTCACTCCCCTCCCCCTGACTCGTTGTCAGTCTCCTGCACTGTCAAGCGCTCCCAGATGCTACCCCCTGGGAAGGGCGCCATATATATGCATGTTGTTGTTGTTAATTGCCCTCTGAGTAAAGAAACAATTACTGGTATCTGTCTAGAATTGCCCTTCGTAACCTTAAACCTATATCCTCTTGCTCTGCTTTCCTGGTGCATCCTAAAGTATTTTCTGGGTTTACTTTTTCAATTCCATTTAAAATTTTGTTCACCGCTGAGTCATCTTCTCTTAGGTATGAAGAGCCCTAGCTGTCTAATTTTTTACCATAATCTGGGCCAATAGAAAAATGCAGACATTTTTGCAAAAAATTGTGGAATGCTTTGCGAATCTTGCGGGGAATTGCAAAGGCCTTTGCTAAATTTTGCAGCGGAAATTGCGGGAAGTGTTCTGTTGATATTTCCTAAAACCATCCTAAAAACATTTTTTGCACTATGCATTTGGTCAATACCTTTTCTTTTCCCTGCTCCAGTGCTCTCTACTATCTCAGTGAACACACACACACACGATCAGTGTTACAGTGGTACGTGTTGTTGCATTTTCCCAGGGTTCGAATACAACACAAACCTTGGGGTGAGAGATCTGGAAAAGGGGAAACAAAACAAAAAAAGCCAGAATAAGAATGCATGAGCGAGATTGCGCTCTCTGCATTGCCGGCCTGTTCTGTGGACGTACTTGTGTCGTTGACTGCGGGAGATTTAAAAGGCAGAATAATAATAATAATAATAATAATAATAATAATAATAAATGAACTATTTGTACTGCATTTCAGCTCCTGAGTGACCAGCTCTGTGCAACCAATATTTGATGGTGGCATATTAGTTTTGCAGTCTTTTCCCCCCACACCCCCTCCCCTCCCCATCACCCAATGCATTAAAATCAACCATTATAGACCTCCAGGGAAAGAGAGGTCACCCGCCGAGCGGAGCTGCTCCTGAGTCCCCGCGGAGGCTGTGACGTGACTGCTCAGAGGGCAAGCGCTGGGTGGCTAGTGCGCATGCTCCGGGGGGGGGAGGTGGACGCCGCGCGTGCCCGCCGTCACGTGTGTGGGCTGCTGCGCCTGCGCGGTGAGTCGAGGCAGAGAGAGAGAGAGAGAGAGGAGGCAGCTGCGGCGCCGAGAGCGGAGCCCAGGACACACACACACACTCGCACAGACACGAGCAGCGCACACAGTACAGGCCCGAGAGACGCGAGCTGAGGAGACTCGCAGCCCCGAGCCACGTACACACATAATATATATACACACACATACATACAGACATAGAGAGAGAGGGAGAGAGCGAGAAAAGCCACGACCGACCATGAGCGACGTGAACGTGAAGAAGCTGAAAGTGTCTGAGCTGAAGGAGGAGCTGAAAAAGCGCGGCCTGGGCGTGCAGGGCCTCAAGGCCGAGCTGCAGGAGAGGCTGCAGGCCGCCCTGGACAAGGAGTCCGCCGACCACGAAGCCATCATCCTGGAGGAGGACGAGGCGGGCGGCGGCGGCGGCGGGGGGGCGGGCGAGCACCGCGAGCTGAGCCCCCTCTCGGCTGGTCAGAACGGCAACGAGGAGGCGGTGGGGGAGTTGGGCCTGGAGGAGCTGCCCGACACGCTGCTCGATGATGAGGAGGACGAAGACGATGAGGAGGAGGAGGAGGAAGACGATGAGGAGGAGGAGGAGGAAGAAGAGGAAGAGGAGCAGGTGGTGGGAGACAATGCCGAGCCCCAGCCGCTGTGCCTCAACACAAAGGGACTGAACGGCGACAAGCCGCAGGGGCAGCCCCCGGCCCCCGCCTCGAAGCAGCAGGAGGAGGAGGCGGCGAAGAAGCCGGAGCCGCAGGCCGAGGCCTCGGCGGCAGCGGGTGGTGTGGCGGTTCCCGCCCAGGCCTCCCCGGAGAAGCCCAACGAGGCCAAGAAAGTAGCGCCGGGCCTCGCGGCCGCCGCGGCTGGAGGTGCAAGCGGCCCGGCCGAGGCCGAGGAGGAGGCGGAGGAGGAGGAGGAGAAGAACGGGGCGGCCGCGCAGCCGCAGCCCCCCGAGGAGCAGATGGAGGTGGGGGGGACTGAGCTGAAGCCGGAGCCGCGGCCGCACAAACTCCAGCAGCAGCAGCAGCAGCAGCAGAAGAAGAAGAAAGATGGGCAGACGGAGAAAGGTCCGGAGCGCGCGTCTCCCGCCCGGCCTCAGGCCTCAGGTACGAGGAGGAGCGGCCGCGTGTGCGTGTGTGTGTGCGTGTGTGTGTGGCGGCTCTCGGGTCACCCTGGTTGCGGGGTTCAGGTTGCTATGGGGGTGGGGGGGTGGGGGGGGAATTGGTCGCATCATTATGGTGTGGGTGCACTGGGCGCTGTGCTGCGGGAGGAGGGCAGTTCGTGCGGGCGAGAGGGCGATGGGTTTTCAAGGCGTTGGCATAACTCGTTGTTAGCGTTACGTCGTGGCCGCTGGGGCGGTGGCGTGTGTTTTGGGGTGAAACGCGTGTGTTTTGGGGTGGGGTGGCTGGGGGTGGGGGTGGGGGGGATATCTCGGGTTAGGGGGTGGTGCGCGCGTGTTTAAAATCCTCTCCGTGTAACTGTGCTGCCGAGCGCCACTTCCGGCCCCGCGCCGACATCATTGGTTGCGGTCCGACTCCCGAAGTGCCCGTCAATCCCCCTCGGTTTTGCAGCACCAGGGAAAATGGAGGCGAGGGGAAGAGAAGAGGGGAAATGGAGGAGGGGACCTGGAGGGGGAAAATTCACAGCTTGGGAAAGTTCTCGAGACAGAGGCTGATGTTCTCCTTGTAATTCTTATGCTGAGAGAAAGCAAATGTCCTGCTGCGGGAGAGCCAGGCATTGGGTGCGAAGTTTTAAGGTTTTAACAAATTGGGATTTTAGTCCTGGTGCCGATTCACGTGTAATGAGTAAACCTCCCTTCACGTACGCTGGTATACATCTCCACGATCGAAGGAGCTGCCCATGCTTTCTATTTTCTGGAATAGTCTTAATTATTATTTTTAAACTGCTGCAGAAAATGTTTTACTGCCCGATTTATCATTCTGTAATTTTAGCAAACGGCCTGTCTTCCTTGCCCTGCCTCCTCCCTCTTTGTTAGTCCTTAAAAGCCTCTCCTTCCCTACGTGCCCAGTTCTGATGAAGGACCCGAAATGTTGACTCACTCTCCTTTCTCCATAGATGCTGCCTGACCTGCTGATTGTTCCCAGCAACTTCTGTTTTTGTTTCAGCATCTGCAGTGTTTTGCGTTTTGTATATGTTTTTAAATGTTTGAATCAGAAGGCTTTGCTGTTTCACTGATCAGCACATTGCACGAGCTAACTGAGTATAATTAGCGGCTAAGGCGTTGTGGCTGATGAGGATTTTCTCCTTTATTAGAGGGTGGAAAGATCAGAAAACTTGATTTGGCTTTTCTTCAAACGTGCCTTCAGCTCCCCTCTCGACTCTCTACCCCCTCCTCGCTCCCTCCCTTCCCTTCCCTCCCCTCACCCTGACCATTTCCCCCCTGCTCGGGTCCCGGCCCAACTGTCCAGCACCTTGGGACGTCCTCCCAACGTGAAAGGCGCTCTATAAATGCAATCTTGTTGTTATTGTTGTTTCACATAAATTTTGCATTTGATGTAGAAGTGTTAGCTTGTATAAAAGTAAATCCCTATACATTTTAAAGAACAACTGTTCCAATAATGTTCAGACTTTAGACTGTTTTGCTTGCGTCATGTCTAGATATTATTTTTAAATCTGAGAGACGAGGTGAAGCCCAACGTGCAATTTGATTGTGGTGAAAAACAGGAAAATGTCAAATTTGAATCTTAGGGACCTGTAGAAGGCTAAGATTAAGGGAAGTCAGGAGTTGCAGTTTTATGCAGTCTGATGGGGAGAGCGAGAGAGGTGTGATGACTTAGTGATTGCCAGTTTGTGCTTCTGCATTCACTGTGAATGCACGGAGAAGGGTTCCAGATCTTCAGGTTACCATTAATGTCACTTCCATGGATGTTGCACATTTGCAAGCTGTTTAGAGTTTTGAAGGTAGGTGGCCAGCTTTTTGGACAAAACTCTGTGACCCCAGGACACCAGTCCTTGCCAGGCTCCACTGGCTCCCAATCACTGATTGGCTTCAAGATCTCCCGCTCGTTTTCAAATCACTTCCTCATACCTCCCTACCTATCCAACCTGCTTACCCTCCACTCCACCCTCGGCTGGTTCTGACCTCTTATTTTTCCCACGTGCCCTCCTTTCTACCATTGGTGGTTGTGCCTTCAGCCACTACCCCCCGAAATTTTAAACCTCTCCCTCAATCCCTCCACATTGCCCCCTCCCTCCCCACCATCAAATCCCTCCTAAAGATCTTCTTTTCTGATCATGCTTACGATCACCAACCCCTACCTCTACCATGGCTTGTTGTCAGACTCCGCCACTGTGAAGCGATCCTGCTAGCCCACGTGAAGGGCGCTATATAAGTATCCCACACCTCCCTCATGCTCGGGTTCTGGCCCCTGACTGTCCGGCACCTTGGGATATCCTCCTGACGTGAAAGGCACTCTATAAATGTAATTTTGTTGTTGTAAATGCAAGTTTTTGTTGCATAAATTTGGGATATGGATGGGTGGTGGTAAATAACTGTTGGTACCCACAAATGTGTAAGGGAAGTACTTGGATAGCTTCCCCAGGTGTAAGAACAAAGGTTTGTCAAACTAAATATTTTGCTGGAGCTTTTTGGAAGTTTCTTTTAGCATGGAGGGGATGCCTTCAAACAGTTTAAGATGTTTTTAGGATGGATTTTCTAATACTGCAGAATAGCAGTAATATTTACTTCGGAAGCAATGTCCAATATGGTCAGGGGAGGAGTATGAAGCACTGGGAGTCATCTTATTTAGCTCCTGTTAACACTGCACACCAAGGCCCTAATGGGTAGGGTGGTCCTAGCTGGACATCAACAATAACAAATTACATTTGCATAGCGCCTTTCATGTCAGGAGGGCATCGCAAGGCACTGAAACGAGCAGCGGTAAAGCTTGCCCAACAGCATTATCAATGGTAAGCTATGCGGTTTTAGCTGGTTCAGGGATACTCCAATGCACACTCTGGGGTCCCCAAGCAAGCGCCAACCTGCGCCTAATACTTTCTGGAATTAGATAAGCAGGATGCGCCCTTCAGGGAGAGCGTGTGCATTCCATGCCAACAATGTAACCGAGATTTCCATGTGTGGATGGGGTGCATGGAAATCTTAGCTTGGTTTGCATAATCTCAAGCATGGTAATGGGTTTCTTCTGCATGTGTCAGACACCCAGTGCTCACTTAGAACACCAATTGTGCGGATGGAAATGTCAGATGAGTTGAAACAGTGTTTAAATCAGAAGCAAAGAAAGCTCAAGACCATTTCAGTTGGATGCAGCAAACCATGATCCCTTAGAAAGGAATCCATATGTGTATAGTTTAACTTAGATGCACGTTAACCCTGGTGACATTTAAATCTTATGTTTGCACTGATAGGAGTAGGCCTAAATCTCATTAAGAAAGTATATGTTACAAGCCTGCACATATGTTACAAGCCTGTCAGATGTCCAATGACCATCTGTTGACTTAACTGTGGAGCAAACGATTCTGGAGAGGTAGTTCCAGGATGACATCTGGGAATGGAAGATAAGAATTGAGAAGATCCTGTGTTGTGGGATCAGTAATCTGTATTGCAGTAATCCAAGGCACTGTTGATGATGGATTACACATTGTGGTTTATTACCAGGACTTTGAGGAGCAGACCAGTTAGTGGGAACTGGCATTTTTCCCACTTGGTGCCAATTAAATCTGCACCCGGCTGCCCCCCGCCCCCTCACAATTTTTTAAATCCCAGAAGCCTAAGGCAAAGATTGGTCCTAGCTGGACAGATAGGTGGAAGCTTGCCAATGCTTACAATGATAAGTTGTGTTTTAATTGGTTAAATTCCGGTGTATTCTTGCCAACTTGTATCTCAACTCTCTGAGGTTTGATAAGCAAGGTGCTTGCCAGACAAATGGAATCAATATATATGTGGAGTTGCCATTTTTTTTAGTTGTCTTTAAAGAATAATGGCATTCTGCATGTCTGAACAATGTTTCAATCAATCTTGGTACTAAGTAGACACTGCTTAGTATTGATTAAGCGGTCTTGAGATGCTACCCAGCATGGAGGGAGCTATATAAGTGCAAGTTATATTGTAGATTTGTGTCAGAATGATTTTTGTACAGTTTGGCACTCAAATGTTCATTTCTCATCTCAAAATATGTCGAAATAGGAGGACGAACTGAGGAACTGAGCATTACAGTAGACACAAGTTTTCACACTAATTGAGACCAGCCTCATTGTGGATAAACAAACAATAATTGGACATCGTACAAAGTATAAATTGACTGTAATGCTAACTAAAACATTGTTCAGTCGGGAGTTATATTTGTTGCTGGTAATGCCATGCTGCCGGCCGTAATCTGATAGATGATTGGTTTGCAGACAGCTAACATTCTACTGTATACTCCAAACATTATTACCCAATAGTTACTATCTAATTCCTAGTGATTCAATCAGAAGTATAGTAACTATTTTTGTAGTTGAATGTGGCAACCAATTTGTGTATAGCAATGTCCCACAAATGGCCATGATGCAAATGACCAATTTTATCTGGGAAATTGCTGATCAAGACACTGGAACTTGAACCCAAGACCTCCTGACTCAGAAGTGAGAGTGCTACTAATTGAACAAAGCTATTGCTCAGTTAGACGGGGTCAGGAAGATTTTTTTCATGCATGGCCTATAAAACTCAACCCTCTGCTCAGCAAGTCCCCCCCCACCATTGACGGCTGGGCCTTCATTCCTATGCCTCTAGCCTCTGGAACTACCACTCCATTTTGCCTTTTTCTGTCAAAGTCCCACCTCAAATCATACCTCCTCAAATATACTTTGGGCCACCTGCCCCTGCCCTCTGAGATGTTGCACTTCGTAAAGGGTGTTATATAAATACAAGTTGCTATTGAACGTTTCCTCCCAGAAAGCTGCAGAATGCATTGCGATTGAAAGATCCATCGAAATCTAATAAATTGATGGACAGATCTCTTGGGCTGAATGTCCTGTTCCCATTTTCCTGTGTTTTTGTAAACAAATTCACTTAGACATAATGGCGTGCACCTACAGCAACAAAATTACATTTATAGAGCGCCTTTCACGTCGGGAGGGCGTCCCAAGGCGCTGGATGTCGGATCAGGACCCGAGAATGGGGGAGGGGTGGGGTAGGGGTGAGGGAAGGCAGAGAGGTGGGAAGGTGACTGAAGACACGATCGAAGAGAAGAGTCTTGAGACCGGCCTTGAAGGAGGCAAGGAAGGAAGCGAAGGGACGGTGGGGTGGAGTTCCAGAGTGTGGGGGCAAAGAGGCTGAAAGCCCGGCCACCGATGGTAGGGCGGGTCGGGCGGGAGACATGGAGCAGGCCAGAGCCCGCTGAACGGAGGGAACGGGCAGGTTGTAGGGAGTCAGCAGGTCAGAGAAGTAGGAGGGGGCAAGGCCATGGATGATCTTGAAAGTGAGGACGAGGATCTTGAATTCGATCTTCTGGGGGATGGGGAGCCAGTGGAGTCGGGTGAAGGTGGGAGTGATGAGGTCAGGAAGCCTGGTGCGTGAGAGTACACGAGCTGCAGAGTTTTGGATGATCTGCAGCTTGTGAAGGGAAGAGTTGGGAAGTCCGATGAGGGAGCCTTGATGTGACAAATGCGTGGGTGAGGGTTTTGGCAGCCTGAGGGATGAGGTAGTGGCGGAGTCTGGCAATGTTGCGGAGGTGGTGGTAGGCAGTGCTGGTCAGGGTGCAGATGTGGGGGAGAAAGGATAATTCAGGGTCAAACAAGACACCCAGGTTCCTGACTGGCTTAGTGCGGTTGAATGTGCAGCCATGGAGGCTGATGCTGCCAGCGCTCGAGGTGTGGAGTCGCTGGCGCGAGACAATGAAGAGGGCCTTGGTCTTGCTGATGTTCAGTTGGAAAAAGTTGTCCCTCATCCAGGACTTGATGTTGGACAGGCAGTTGATCAGGACGCCGGGAGTTGAACGTGGAGGCAGAGAGATAGAGTTGGGTGTCATCCGCGTACATGTGGAAATTTGCCCCATGTCTGCGGATGATGTCACCAAGGGGGGAGCATGTAGAGGGGTGAAGAGGAGGGGACTGAGGACAGAGCCCTGAGGAACACCACACGAGACAGTGCGGGGGCTGGAGGAGAAGCCGTTTGCAGAGACGAAGTGGAGGCGGTGTGAAAGGTAGGACCTGAACCAGTCAAGGACAGAACCTTGAAGGATGAGGAGGATTGTGTGGTCCACAGTATCAAAAACGGCGGAGAGGACTAGGAGGCAGAGTCACACGTCACAGAGTCACCTGGTCACACGTGGTTAGGATATCATTTGACCTTGACCAGAGCAGAGCACGGAAATCCAATTGGAGGAGCTCATGGAGGGAGTGGGAGAAGAGGAAAGAGCGAAACTGGGAGGCAACGGCTCTCTCAAGGACCTTACATGGAAAAGGGAGGTGGGAGATTGGCTGGTAGCTGGATAGCTGTGAAGGGTCAAGGGAAGGTTTCTTCAAGGTGGGGGGTGATGGTGGCTGTTTTGAGGAGGGTAGGAACAGTGCCAGATGACAGGGAGAGGTTGATGATATCGGCGAGTAGTGGGGCAAGGAGGTGGAGCTGGGATTTAAGGAGAGGGGTGGGGATGGGGTCCAGGGAGCAGGTGGTGAGCTTCATGGAGGATGTGTTGGTGATGACAGAGGAGGGAGTTACAGGTTCAAAGGTATGGAAGGAGGGATGGGTAGTGGTCGGAGTGTGGGGATCTGTAGGGAGGGGGTGGAAGTTGGAAGGCCAGTGGCAGCTGAGTGGATTCCCTCGATTTGGGACTCGAGGAAGTCAACATTTCCTCACAGTGGGAGTCGGAGGAAAGAATCTGAGGCATGGCGGGGAGGGCGGAGGAGCCAGTTAGTGGTGGAGAACAGGAGCCTGGGGTTGCCCTTCGCCTCCAGGATTAACCTGGAGAAGAAGGACAATTTGGCCAAGGTGAGAGCGGAGCAGTAGGTTTTGATATGGTCTAACCAGGTGCATCAGTGGACCGTTCGGCAGGATTTCAGCCAAGTGCGTTCGGCAGCTTCTGACAAAATCTCAAATATTTCAGCTTGTGGAGCATTTATCCTAACCAAAATGAGGAAATCTCGCTGCACAGAAATACAACGTTTTCTCTTGCACTTATAGGGCAAGCATGAATCTAAAGATGAATTACAAGGATGAATCGTATTCTAAACTGTTCTGTGTTGTGCTCTATTTTGAAATATTATTGTTGAGTTTTATACTTTACAGACAAGAACTGCAATGGAAATTATTTTGGCAGCTCTCCTCTTTGACTCTACAATTTTATAGTGGTAATTGTTTAGCTAGTCATCATATATGCTGCTTGCTTGGAAACCCTCAAGCATAATTATAGTTGGAAACCAAAGCCAAGTAGAGTTGATTTGACTTTCATCTGATGCTATAAATAAATTACTAGATGCGAGTAGTGTTGCTGGTGTTGCCATTGGACAGGTCATGCTGATTCAGTGGAAGGTGTTTTTCAGAGGCTGGAATTGTCATTCGTAGTTGTGCCAGTGTAATGGGGACTGCAGACTCCTCTAACTGATCAATTCAGTGCCTGCCCTGTAAGTGCAAGAGAAAACGTTGCATTTCTGTGCAGCGAGATTTCCTCGTTTCGGTTCGGATAAATGTTCCACAAGCTGAAATATTTTAAGATTTTGTCAGAACCATCAATACATTTAGGCTGGATGCAATTGAAAAGGTGTTCAATCAATACAGTTATTCTAGATCTTTACAGTTGTATAATGGAAAATCCTAAGTCTCGTAGTCATTTGCTAATTTTCCTTCTCTGATATTGCATTCACACCAAGAATCTGAGGTGTGCTGAGAGTTGGTGGAGAACTAAAAATCCAGTATGTAATGCAATGTATAATCAAATCGGTTTGGGGTCAATTTGTTTTAATTCTGCATCACAGTTGCTATAGAAATTTGTCCTGTGATGTTTAAATATAAAGATTGTTTACAAACTGATCATTTGTGGATGGTTTCACAGTATTGAGTGAGAATTCTCACAGCAGTAAAACTGGAATCGAGAGCCAAGTGGGAGTTCAGCTTGTTTTTGTGTGTGTGGTGGGGGTGGGGGGGGGATGAAGGGGGCTGAAAACAAGTAATTAATTGTGAGGATACTGGCCGGTTCTTTTATAACTTAAATTGATTGATTAGTATGTTAAGAGAGAAGTCCTCTGTGGAAGATAATTTCCCAAAGAGGTGGTTAAACTGTAAAATGAAGGCAGCCTATTTAGATTGAGCTTTGCTAAATCTACTTTGCCTTATTGCTGAATGTATAAGATTGTGTTTAATGGATAGAATCTTAGCATTCTCCTCTGAGAGGCCAAACAGGAGCTTTTTTTGAGTAATGCAGTTTATGTCAAATGTTTTTTTAATTGCGCGCACCTTGTAGGAACATTTTTGATGGATGAAGATTAAAAAAAACCTTAATATTTTATGCATTTGTTACTGAGATCAGACATCAATTAGATGTTCTCAGATTGTTTCTAACCATTTGTTCTAATTCACTGCTTGTAATCTGGGATACATACTTGGTTAATTGTTTAATATAGTATTTAATTAAAACCTTATTCTAATCAAATATTCAGATATCAACTGCATTTAACCCTACCACCAAAATGTAGTGGGTCACTATGGTTTGAATTGTGTCTTCACTTAATGAGACATAATTATTTAATCTGTTCCCTGTGTTTCATTACAGGAGAAGGGAGCAAGGCTGCGCAGTCAACTGATCAAAGCAAAGAGCAAAATCGCAAAGGTGTAAAGAGACCCCATGAGGACCATGGACGTGGCTATTATGAATATATTGAAGAAAACAAGTATCGACGGTATGGTTAGATGGATATTTGTAGCTGGTTGTAATTACCACCTATTTTGTTCAATGCTAAGTTATTAACTTTTTTATTCTTAGGGCTAAATCTCCCCAGCCACCTGTGGAAGAAGAAGAAGAAGATTTTGATGATACTGTAGTTGCCCTGGATACTTGTAAGTGATCTTTTAAATAATTTGTTTAAATAGTAGCCAAATTTTCCTCCAGATGCCATTTACTCCAAACTGATTTCCCTAAGTTACAATTTGCTGGTCTGGACACTGCTTTTCTTTTCACTTCTTTACATTTCAACAAGTGTAGTTTATTCTGGATTTTTGGTTCAAGTTTCATAGCTGCTTTAGTGCATTAATCTGCAAAATATATGTTATTTTTGCAAAATCCCTCATAATTTGAGATTTTGAGACTGCCCCTAGCCGCAGGAATATAGAAGAAAGAAATGTGAGAATAAATCAATTGATTTGGTACAATTCTGAGCGACCATTTGTCGCTTAAAAGTTAGTCAGTCATTGTCATGTGTAGATGTGATGAATGGAACTGTTTAGTTTTGATACTCACAAGCATGGTGATCGGTTTCTTCATGTGTCAGACATTCAGCTGACTAAAAACATCTTTTTTTCCTCCTCTCTCTCTTGTTCTCATATTCTCCCAAATAAAAATTGCATTGCTTCATTAATTTGCCAACTAGTTGTCTAATCTTCTGATCCTTTTATATAAGCTAGTTGTTTAGAGCAATGTATAGAATTTTTTATCATAATCTTCATATAATCTGCCAGTGTATTTAGTCTATTTTTATTGAATATTTACCTTAGTTTGTACGTGTATTGGATTTGCTTGAATGAGAATTGATACTCTAGAGGTGCTCACCTTTTGTAGTGTATTTTAAACTTAAAAAACTTTAAAAAATGAATAAATTCTAAATAAGTGATGGCTATAAATATTCTCATACACTAAAATATTCAGTTTTAAACATTTTCTGGTTTTGGTGCAAATCATTTTCAATATAACCTTCCTATTTGAGTAGTTTTCTTGGGATGTCCATTTTTCTGCTGTGCTGTTGCATTTTGATAATCTAGTGATGGCTTTTTTTTTGTTGATGCATACATTTGTTCACCATGAAGTGAGACGTTAAATCCTGCACACAAGCTTTCAAAAAGGTTTTCGTAACATGCTATCCTGATGCGTTACATAGCCTTTTTAAAATATATGTTGAACAAATTTGTAATGGATGTCCTGTTCGTTTGCAGACAACTGTGATTTGCACTTTAAAATAAACCGAAATCGATTTGGCGCCATGCCTCTAACCATGGAAGGATTTGCCTACCTTTGGGCAGGAGGAAGAGCTTCCTATGGAGTTACCATGGGCAAAGTGTGCTTTGAAATGAAGGTAAGCCATTTTGTTTACAAAATTGGGAGGGTGGGACAATAAAAGGTTTGTAAAAATCTGATGCCTTACTCTTCACATGTGTTTGGTAACAGGTAATTGAGAAGATACCAGTTAAGCATTTACCACCTGATCAGACAGATCCGCATGAAGTGAGAGTTGGCTGGTCCTTCGCTTCCTCCAGCATGCTACTTGGTAAATTTACTTTTTATTCTTGGTTGTTCATTTCCCTCCTTCCCCCATTCTTGTCCCCACTTCCTCAGGAGAGGAGGTGCTCTACTTAGAGGCTTAAGTATGTTTAATTGACAGATCTCCTGTCATGAGATTTTGCTAAACTGTCTGAGAACTGACGCATGTTGCCTACCAGTTGGCTTGAATGTTGCCTACAGCTATGAGTATGTTTATATTTGAGTCACTTCATTATTTTCCAAAGAAGGGACATTATTTTCATACAATTTAAATCTGGATGAGCTTAGAATGATTCATGTATCAGTAAACACAATAAATAATTTTGCATATAATGTAACATCTTCAACATAAAGTGCGGCATAGGATTTTTAAAAACTGTAGTTACTGTATTTTTGTAGGCAAACCTGGCAGCCAATTTGCATAGCAATATCCCCTGTTCAGTCATGAAGGGAGTGGCAATGGCATGGTCCAGTTTTGAAATGAACCTGCTTCATTCCTTAATTTTCTAAAATATCTTACGTTTGACAGCTTTGAACACTTTCCATGTTAGTTACTACCATGTGTGCAGTTGATTTGTCCCGCAAGCCGGCATTATTTAGTTATAATTCAAAGTTCTTGTCTAAGGGCATGACAGTAGTAATCTGAATTTCTGCATGTTTGAGTTTTCAGTCTTCACTTAAATCTGCAGGGAGTTGTGCCCAATTCAATTTTCACATTACCGATCTAGATTCATGATAATTGCTTTCAATAGGAAAAACTCACATGTATTATATAGATTTTATATATTTTCACCATATTTTTTAGAAGCCATACTTCGAATACATCTGTCTTTATATTTTAATTATTTGAAAGGAAACAATTTAAAGTTTACTCTCTTTCAACTTCTAAAGAGTTACTTATTCTTGAAAACCTCAGTTTGAGTTTTGCTAGTGTCGTAGTACACTGCATTCAAATGTTTCCTCTGATTCTCAAAGTGGTGCTGTGGAAGAAATCCATCATTGGATATGTGATTAATTGGACAGTTAAGAGCTATTAAATTGCAGTGCTGAATGAAAGGATGAAGTGATGGTTCTTAGTGCTTTTGTTTTGATGCTTCTGTGTATTTATTGGTCAGGTATTGTATGTTATGATGAAAAACAAACTTGCTAATGTATTCCATAATCTCTACATGACATTTCAGAACTTGTTTATTGCATACTTATCAACATGAGTCCAATATTAGTTTCCTGACTCAGTTGTTGGCTTATTGTAAAGCTGGGAATTAATCAAATCAATGAGTATAAGCACCTGGCATTTCATTGTACCTTAGCACAATATTTTGTTTCTGGTACCTAGATTTCAATCCAATCCAACCCAGGCCAAAAGTATCCTTTCAACTCACTATAACTGGACTACAAGAAGTGCATTTATTTGAATGCTTAATGTGTTAATATATACAATATAAAGCAACCCATTGACTGTGCAAGAATTAACTATGAATTGTTTATGAAAATACTGATGCAGAGATTATGACACAATGAGACCTTTGCAGCAATCATGTGCCTGCCATACCAACACCAGCCAAAATTTTACTTCCATCAACAGTGAAGTCCCAGCATTAAGCCCAGGGCATTTGGACAATGTTTTTGTAATGTTCCAAACCTAGGGAATAGAAAGGAGCATTAAACTTTTTTTTATCTCTAGGAGCCAAGAAATCAATAAATGTGTAGATTGTTTTTTTTCTCGTTAATTTTTGTGATGAGTGTGGATCTTCACTATGAAATTAGGCATTAATTGGTAAATCATGATCTAACAGCCAGTGAGAAAAAATGCGAAATGTCATACTGCCCGAGATCCTCTTCTGGGGTTAGGTTTAAACATTGTGGAGTGAGCTGTATTATGCCTGAGTGTGGTGCCTGAGGTGGGCAATTTTCCATTTCCTGCCACTTCCATCTCAACGGATGTAAATAGCCAATGACCTCACCCGTGACACTTTGGGCACATGCTCCTAGTGAAATAGTTTTAACACATTTTCAGGCTTAAATCAACTAGGCTTATTTATTTGGGTGAAATAAGTGTTTAAAGCTTGCGTATTATAGTATGCATCAGTGTAGATATTTGAGCATTTCTGAAACCTTTTTATTGAAAAACCTAGTCATTTTGCGTTTTCCCCTGATCTAATTGGGTAGCCCAGGTTGGGAGCTGCTCCTGAATGTCAGCTGACATGCTCTTCATCTTTTTTTCTTTTCTCTGTACTGTTACTCATATGGCCCATAGTATAATCATTAAAGTCATTTGAAGGTACAATAGCTAAAAAGATTGTTGTTTCACAACAGAAATGTATTTTGTGAAACAAACATAAAGAAAATGTAATGTACGCAGTTTCTACTTTTGCTCATTGACTTCAAGAACTTTAAGCACAATAATGAGCTGTCATGGCTCAATGTTCTCTGGAAAAATGGTCCATGGAAAGATGCTGAAAATATGATTTTTGTGTTTGAAAGCATTCGAATTGGCACAATAAACAAAGTCAATGTGGGGAAAGAAACACTTATGAGAAATATTCACTTCTGTGAAATGTATTTCTGTCCTTCAAATGTGAATTGAATAAATATAGCAGCTAGTTGTATGGTTATCTATTGTTTTCTCAATCCTTATGTTTTATAAAGGCTAGTTATAAATTAGGTATGATCTGTAATGGTGCAATTGTTCTATGCTGTAGAATTTTTTATTTCAGATCTTTCATGTACAGTTCTACAATAACCTCACAACTGACATGTAATGTGCCCATGAGGTTGAAATGACAGAATTGAGATCAGTAGTTTACAATCTAATTTTATTTACACTCAATTAAAAAAAGAAACCCAATAGAGTACTGTAGTCACAATTTTAGACATGGCACAAAATATTTTAATAATGTAATTTACCCATGTTTCCCAAGTTCTTGCTTTAGAATATCCTTTATCTTTGGGTTTGGTGTTTATGATATTTTATGTGCTATGGCAACCTTTGATACGCATTCAGGACATTTGTGTCCTGCACCAATTTACTAGTGACTGATTTACTCAGTTCATACTTGTGCTAGTTGGCTTCAGTGACTTTGTTCACTTCAGCACAAGAAACAGCCAGTTATGTCTCCTCTCTCAACTGATTTATTGTTGAAAATAGTGCTTTCAAACAAGTAGAAAACTATTGACTCTGTATTAGTCATCTTGAGATTTTTAAAAAGATTATTGGCTTCCAAGTCGATTAGCATACAACACTGTATGATGTGTTTTTCCTAGCAATTAGAACAATATGTTATGGTCAATGAACTCTCATAAAACCTAAAAATCCCAAACCACGTGTGTTGCCTTTACCATGTTATTCATAAAGAAGTGTTGATATAGTAAATCGAGTATTGAAAGGTTAGATTTTGCAAATTAATATTGTGGGACTGGGTGCTTTAGTTTTGGGGGAAAATTTGTGGGGAAAATCAGTAAGCAGAGCTCTACCTAAACAGTTATTTTAGAGTGCTAGTTCCAGACTGATTTTGGTTCTGTGCATCACATTTCGTACGATTTACTAATGATTTCCCAGGGGACCAAACCTGAAACTTAATAAAAGTAAACGATAAGAGTCTGAGAACATCGTTTGTCATGCTTTTTTTTGTCTCTGTACTCAAAAGAGTTAATGGGTGGACTATTGTTGCACAACTTGTAATATTTTTGTAAATGTTATAGCAAAGAACTCTTGCAATGCTCACTTAAAACCCTTTGGCATCTTAACTTTGTTGGTTATTCTTGTGCATTTTTAAAAAAATAAGCAATGGTATGATGCAAGGAATTAATCACCATAAAATGTCTGGACAGTTATTTAGTGCTATTGGAGTTCTACTAATTTCACACCATACTTCCATGAGCTGCAGTATTTTGTCAATAACTTTGAAGAGCCAAGTAGAAATTAGGTAAGATGAAATGCATTACTAGCTTTCCTTCTAAGTACATTATATTTTATGCATGAACAATCTTTAGATCCACATCCTGCATTTCTATACCTATCTATCTCCAAAGTGAAGGACACTTCTCTCTCCCTCTTTCTCTTTCTATCTCTCTGTCAGTGGCTAATTTAAATTAGTTGATGACTAAGGTTCACTGCGTCTAGATGTCTACAGCAAGATGCTGACTAAGACTTGAGTCGATTTATAAATTAAAGAAGTGCTAGTGGTTTATTACAAAAGATAATCCACATTCTCAGTTAAGTGTAATCAGGCATGAGTCTGTTTTGGTCCCCTTATGTTCTCTCAATTAATAAACATGTTGTCAGGAGGAACAGTTTAATTAAATTCATGGGCAGTGTTTCCAAAAGTGCAAGATGTGTTCATGGTAGCCCTTCATTCATTGTTCATAGCATGTACTCACTAAGCAACAGACTTAATAATGTGTTGTTGAGGGTGCATGAATTGCTATGATGCTTTTAACAGCAAAGCCAGTTTGCCCAATTTTAGATCTAGCTAGCAATATATAGTAAATTTGTGTGGATGATCAGGTTTCTAGTCCTAACTAAAACATTCCATCCATCCTGAGTAATTTATTATAAAATGGAACTGAGCAAAGTTCACCTTTCACAAGTCTCTACTGATCAGTTGCTTCTGCATCTTTTAGGGGCAGTGCATTCTACATTCTCAAAACTCTGTTTTGATTTAATTTCTAATTGATTTAGCTCTGATTTTAAGGTTGTCCCTTATTTGGACCCCTTCAAAGGGAATAGCTGTCACTACCTTTTTGATTTCATTTCCAATAGAGAGCCTGTTTATTCACTAATTGGGACTCATTCCAATGTGAACGAGCAAACCGTGTAGGTCTGTCTTAATAAAATTCCTTAACATGGTTTCTCTGTTAAAATCAATCATCTGTCCCAAAATGTGGCTTTGTCACTGTATCTTTTGGAAAAACAATAGATAGGAAGAATTAGTGGGTGCTCTTGGAAGTTTTATGCTCCTTATTCTTGGCTTTAGCGTGTGAAGGCTTGGGTAACATCTAAACAGCCTGTGGCTGTGTTGTAATAGTAAAGAATTGATTATTTTTGGCGGTTGAGTAACGAATGGAAATCTTACAGAATACCTTTGACAGCCCATTTCACGCAGTGTGTAGTACATTAGGCTTTGTCAAGTTATGGTCCGAAGTTTTTTCAGGGTCCGTTTGGGAACCAAGTCATCTGTTAGGGTACAGATACATCAGACAAAATCTGATTCTCGTGTTCAAGTCTGACATCGAACCATATGTATACGCAGGAAAAGTAGTGCTTAGAATCTTGTAGTCAACACATTGATCTGACTGGTTCCATTTAAGAGACATTATACAGTGGAAATAAAGGGGACAAATACACGTTTGAAACACTTTCAATATCCAAATACCTTGAGGAAAATGGGGCCCGAAAGAGCACCCTTTTATGTTGAATTCTTCCAGGTACCCATCTTTACCTGATTGAACAGAAGTTTGCCTCTTCTGCAGGAAATGTTTGCATCTAATATCTTGGACTAAATGATGGTGGTGGGGTGTCTACCTCAGCAACAGGATGTAGTGCTGAAGTGAAGTATAATTCACCACTAAGGTTCTGGAATGTCTTGTTAATGAATTGTTGTGGTAATTTTCATTTTTCTTTCTCCCCCCCACACACCCCCACCCCACAATAAAATGGATGGAATGGAGGCTGAAGTTTGCTGTTTGTGTAATTGCAGAGCAAGCAGTCTGCCCAATTCGGTACTGGTACCTTATATGTACTACTATTGCTTCTTGATATACTGCAAGAAATGCTCCAATCTGCAAAATAACAGGTTTTAACTTCATCACAGGCAGTGACCGAAGCATGCAGTGTTTTATCCAGGCCTGAATGCTTTGTGTGTTCTCCTTCAACTCTTATTCCTCAGCTAAATTGGTCGTCTTTTGTTGATGATGCAGAAGCAGTAATCTGTCCCCTCAGGAATGCCTTGTCCGCCTCAGATACAACAGTGATGGTGATGCTTCTGGAGCGGAGGTAGTAGTGACAAAACAGGAAAAAAAGTCCACTTCATCTGCAACATTGGCCAGAAGTTTGGATCTCCCAGCAATGAGGTATTCAGTCGCCAGGTCGATGAGTGTGAAGGGTGATTTCTTGGCCCCAACACTAAATTAACCCGGGCGTTAACTGAAATCATGATAATCCAATCTTTTGTCACCCCAGTCAATTAATCTGGGGAAAAATAGCAAGAGAAAAAATACAGGTGGCATATTATGTGAGGAAAGCCAGGCTCTTTTGAATATCCAAGACATCTGCCATTCCATTTTTGGCACACAGTTTAAGAAGCTTGGAGGAATTCCCTCTACTGAGGAACCATTTATCTATCCTAGGATCTAATACACAATTAAACTCACTTTGACTTGTTTGCAGATGACCAGCAGCAGAGATAAATAACGAAACAATTCTTGGAAACTCAGTGTTAGGCCAGAAACATTGATGTTGTGTATTTCTGTTACAACAGCATGGATATTCTGTCAACCTGCAAGGTCACTGTTTAAGATGAAACAGAATGGCCACATGACATTTCTTGGAAGATTATGATTTGGAATAAACTTCCATTCTGTTGCTGTGGAATTTAATGGGGCACTGATTTTATTGAAGATGTTTGGTAAAGATTATTTGGGGGACCAGTATCAGCCTAATTGCATTCTTGGCCACAAATGCATTGCAACAAAAGGCTCCAGTGTGGTTGTTTAAATGTATGCTATCAACCATAACTGAACAAAAGTTGTATCACGTTCTACTTATGAAGTTGGTATTCAGTATCAGTAATGTGCTTACTGTAATAAGGCATCTTATTTTAAAATGGTTACTGTTTCCAATGTGATAGCTTGCCTCTCATGTTGACTGAATGAGGTAGGCTCTCCAGGCACAAGGTCACAATATATAATTTTATAGGATTGTGTGATATTTCTTTCAAGATACACATTCTAGTCAAATGCATTGTAACAAACCACTGCATATATTGATTGCAAGTGGTAGCATCCCAGTGATTTATTTAGGTATATACCTACTGATTGATGTCTTCCCTACTCTGAACCAGCCACAAAAAGTAAGTACAGCAATTCAACCCTTGAAGTTTAGCTAGACCAGAAATAAATTGAAGGAGGTTATGAGAATAGCTTTCTTCTCTCCCCACCCCTGGCAAACATCCCAAATTGACCTTGTAGTAGCAGGTTCTATCTGAAATCGTTTCCTGCTATAAAAGCTGATGATCCCCTCTCCTTTGTTTCCATCAACTGCAGAAGCAAAGCACATTTGAGTAATAAAATCTGTCGCACAGTTCAAATCGGAGTGGGGGGTGGAGAGAACGAGAAGTGAACTGAATCAACCAATTAATACCGCCTGGTACATAATATCAATTCAGGCAACCAGATGAGCATGTGCCACTAACATTCAATACAACATACTATACAAATGAGCTATGCTTTCGTTGTTTTTCACCATTATGAAATAAATTATCATAAAGTGTTTAAATCTATAGCTGGGTTCTGTTCATCCATCCCTAGCATGAGCATGCTATGACTGGTCTCTTCTGGGGTGTTTACATTTAGTTTCATTTTCAAAGTTCATTCTCAGCCTTGATAAAATACCATAGCAGAGATTGAATGCAAGGGAAGTTTTCTGTATTAAATTGCTTCCCATGATGTGCTAATTCTGGATTTAAGCATTTCTGATTGCCTGGACAGCTCCAAATTTTCTCAGTAGATATTTTTTTAAAAAAGCTTCAGCTGTTTGGAGCCAGTGGGGGCAGATTATCATTTGTTGTACCACAGTTTGCAGCATCACATGACCAAAGGTTTCTTGAACTCCCTTTGTCCAAGATGGTCATATTTTTATGGTGTACAATTGAAGTTGTCAACATCTTTCAAAAGAAATTGTATGCTCCATGCAAAAGATGTTAATATTGGAGATAAAATGTTTTCCATTCTTCAGTAACTATATTGAGAAATTCTGAGCCAGTTGTAGCACAGACTGATGCATACAGAGCTTGCTCATTATATTGAACAATTAACTTGTATTTTAACCACAGAATAATTCAGTAGATCTTCACTTTGAATTGTTTCACGTTCACACCAATCTCAAGAGAGAGATTCTTAATGTGAAAATGTGTGTTTATGTTGGGAACCATGCACACTAGAATGGGTTTAGGTTGCCCTTACAACTAGAGATTTTTATTATGTTAACTGAGCTCGAGCTGGAATCAAACTTGTCAGGAGAGATCAGTGTGCACCAAAGTGCCTTTTGGTAGATGGGCTGCTATTTTGTTTCGTGATCCACTAGGTGATTCCTTCGGTTATATATGATATGGACTGTTCAGCCTTTACTTTGAAGGAGTTTTGACTTCTGCCTTTGGAGGATTGGGGGAGAACAGGGGTCAGTGTCTTTTGTAACTATTTGAAAAGACCCAAATTATCAGCAATTCCATTTATCAAGAGGAGACTGGATCTGCATGCTATACCTAGAATAAGATGACATTGGTTACCTATTATCAGTTATGTTTTAAGTCTTTGTACAGCATTTTAATAAGTCGAGCTGCACTCTACATTTGGGGGAATTCATAATTTTTAAGTTCCTACATTGAAGAACTCATTAGAAAGCTCTCCCCTTATTTAAGGGAGGTGGAGAGGAGGATGCTAATCGTTGACCAAATGTGTTGAGCAACTACCTATGTTTAATCACCTTTTGCCTTGTGTAAAACTACATACTCACAAATAATATCACTGAGTTCAAAAATCAAATCAGTCTCAGTGTTGCTGAGAGCTTAGCAGCAATTTATTTGCCTTTGGTCAACACAGTATGCCTATGAAAAATTGCAAACCTTTAAAGTGTGTTCTTAAAAGGTCATTCATTGTATGTAAATGTAGAGAGGCGGACTATGAATAAATGTGCTTAAGAAAGCACATTTTGACTGACGAACATCTGCTTGTTGCACCTGCTGATCTCTGATCAGATTTTAAGGATTTTCTATTTCAAGTCCATGTTTCAGACAAACTTCCTCTAAGTGAAAATTTGGGGCAGTCTATTCGTGCTCCAGTGGGATGCACAAGTTTTCAGGAAAATGTTTTATTATTCATTTTCTAAGATTGTTATGTTGAATGATTCTAAATGGACTGTGGAACTAAGATTAGAGATTTAGAGTTTAGCTTTATTCGTCAAATTTTCTCCCCCTCTTTGCAGTATGGTTTAATGGGTGTCGGGCATCCTCTTATTACTTCACCCAGCTTGCATTCTTCATCTGTGAGTCTAGATAATGTTGGCATTTGATCAGAGGAACATCCCCACAGAAACATTCTATGCTCATGCAACACTTGGCTTTCCCCCATCCTTATCCAAAGTGGCTCTGAGGGTAATTGTAAGGTTCCCGCTGACATCAGCTCACTAAGACCAGATGAGGGATTGAATTTAGGAAGGTTATATTAATTGATCTTTGTAGCATACATTTTTGCTATGTTCTTAGGATGCAGTTCAGAGCCGTGGATATGCACTGCATTGTTTTCATATTTTTAAAATGTGCACAACTACATTTGACTTCACAGGTGAAAAAGAATTTTCCTTTGGGTACTCTGGGACAGGGACAAAATCTTCAAATTGCAAGTCTGAAGAGTATGGTGAAAAGTTTGGAGAAAATGATGTGATCGGCTGCTTTTTTGTGAGTTGATTCAAATTTAAATCATTTTGCTATGTGCCACTTTTAGATTTTAATTTTTTAGGTTTACCTTTTTTAATAACGCTTACTGTTTGCATTGGATACTTATTTGGGACCTAAAATGAGGGAGCTGAGATAATGGGATTAAATTTGTGGTGAATGTTAACAGAAAGCAGAAGCAATTGTACTCTGCCAACCAGTAGTCAAAGGCTGAGATTCACATGTCAACGCTGTGGCTTCACAATTTAGAACAATTATGCAGTGGGGGGAATGCAGTGAATCACTCTTTTAAAAGCCCTCCCAATCCCTCTTGTAGGGCATCTACCATCCCCACAAGGGAATATAGGTAGTGGACCTAATTTGGGGGACAAGGTTTTGCACCAAACTTTCTACAGTGGAATTCCAGAGACCTCAAACAATAATTGAGCACTTTTTACCTGGCTGTTTTCCTGGTCATCCAGATGCAGGAAGCACGCTCGGAGTACTGCCAAACACAATGTGATCTTGCTTTGATATGAATTTGGCATAGTTATGAATTTCTGTATTGAATCATGATAGATGGATTTGATGGCCTGAAACTGGAGTAAAATAAATGCTTTTGGTGGAATTATTGTCATTCTTGCAAGCTGCGCTATATTAAGTCTACTTGAATTTATCTTATAAAGCACACTTGAATTATTCATTTCACTTTTTCGGTAGACCTTTGGTGATGAAGTGGAACTTTCCTACTCCAAGAATGGTCAGGATCTGGGAGTCGCATTCAAAATCAGCAAAGATGATCTTGCGGGTAGAGCTTTATTTCCACATGTTCTGTGTCATAACTGTGCAGTGGAGTTTAACTTTGGGCAGGAAGAGACTCCCTTCCTTCCTACACCTGAAGGCTTCACCTTCCTCCAGCAGGTCCCATTGGAGGAACGTGTACGGGGGCCAAAGGGCCCTACAACCAAAGGAGAATGTGAAGTGAGTAATATTTTAACCTGTTCAAAGTTGTAACCTTGTTAGTTAGCAGGGCGAAAGTAGTAAAATCTGGCACATCTGCAGATTTTGTATTCACAATATAAATTTGCGTGAGTTAATTAGGACCAGTCAGCACAGATTTGTGAAGGACAAATTGTGTTTAATCAATTTACTAGAGTTCTTCAAAGAAGTAACTACAAATGCAGATCAAGGCAATGCTATGGATGTTGTGTATTTTTTTGGACATGTAATGATGGTGTTCAATTCATTTAAGAGACTGGATTAGTCTGTGGTAGGGGTTGTATGATTTCTTATTTTGCTTTTCTTAGGTTTTGATGATGGTTGGCTTGCCTGGAGCTGGTAAATCAGTCTGGGCTTCAAAGCATGCTGCAGAACACCCAGGAAAATATAACATTTTGGGGACAAACAACATCATGGATATCATGAAGGTGAGATGAATTAAAATCTTTGTTCAGTGCATGTGCAACTAGTCATTTAACTGTTTCCAAGTTGTTAGTTACTTACACAATGCTGGTATAGCATGGAAAAGATTGCATCTTTGTTGACATCTCAACTCCTATTAATTCAAAGCAGTATGGCGGATGTTTTTAAATCTAAATTAGTTGAGTGGGTCCGGTAGTTTGTTTTACAATTAGAAAATCATCAAATACTTAGGAGTGCAGTGTTAGTTGTAGTACAGCAACTAACCGCAAAGGCTGTGATATTGGCACGTGTCAATATTGTTAATTTAAGCCATATTATTAAAATGGAATGGATTGCTCAGCATGCAAGAGGAAATGATTCTTGTATCCTAACTACATTTGCCTCAAAAACTAAGGAGGACAGATAAACTTGAAGAATGTTTCAGAATGAATGTAGAAACAACTTGTTATTTAATTGGTTAAATTTATTTTAGGTGTTGAGCTTCAAGCGTCAGAAAACTGATGGTGGTAAACTGACTACACTGATTCAGCAGGCCACACAGTGCTTGAGCAAGTTTATTGAGATCGCTGCTCGTAAGAAACGCAACTACATTCTTGATCAGGTATGCTTTTTAAGCAGATATTTGGGAAATTTATTTTCATGTTAACGAGCGGAATTAAGTTATTTTTTGTCTGTTCCATGCAATATAACAACAACAAAATTACATTTGCATAGTGCTTTTCATGTCAGGAAAACCTCTCGAGGCGCTGAACAATCAGTGTTTTGGACCTGAGCTGGGCGTTGGGATCGTGAAAGGCAGGGATCAAAGAGGTAGTTGAAGAGGGGGCGAGGCGGAGGGACTATGGGATGGAGTTCCAGAACTCCAGGGGCAGAAGGAGTTCTGGTCACACAATAGATCAGATAGTTGGGGTAGTTTCCATAAAATTGGAATTATGTAGAGTTGCAGCTTTGTGTGGTGCTAACACATGCATTTGATTTAGTCCCATATGTAAGGGAACAGGTGTTCTAGGACTGCCCAGATGAAGACCACTGTATCTGAATGTAAAATGAATTCATATCCAGTGTGTTAAAATGTGTATGTTTGAGTGCTTTTGGACATCTTTGCATTAGTGAGGTCAATGGTGACCCAGAAATTGGTTATTTTCTGACACTTCTTCGGAGTCTGATCTTATGCATCCAAACTGCTGCATTATAAATTGGTTGTTCTGTATTTCACTTTATAGTTCCAGTGGTATTTGTTATAATCAGATCTACTTTGTATGTGGAATGACTGGTGTTGGTATAACAGCTATACTGGATGAAATGTGAGAGATGTAAGAAGTGGATGAAGGGTTATGAATAGAAAATGATAATGAAAGAGAATTCAAATTCTCAATGAGATTTGTATTTAACTTTACATTTTAATTTTGCAATATAGACAAACGTGTGTGCCGCAGCTCAGAGAAGGAAGATGTGCCTGTTCGCAGGTTTTCAGCGTAAAGCAGTTGTCATTTGCCCCTCCGATGAAGAATATAAGGAACGTTCGAAGAAAAAAGCTGAAGAAGAGGGCAAGGATGTTCCAGAGCATGCTGTTCTGAAAATGAAAGGTATAGATTTAAATAAAGCAACTCATCTTCTTAAATTGTTTTGATTTATAATTGAAACTGGTATCTTGGGAACATGTTATACTATTGTACTTGTTGTTCACCTGATTGGGATTTTCTTGAATTTTTGGTTTAAATTAGTAATAATTTAGGTTCAATCTGCAATTTAATGAATAAGAAATTTTGCAGAACTAAATGTAGGATTTAATTTTATGTATAGGAGTATTTAAACCTTTACCTTTCTCCCCGCTTTTTTTTTCAAGGTATCTTTGCACTGCCAGAGGCTGGTGATTTCCTTACTGATGTAAGCTATGTGGAGCTGCAGAAGGAAGATGCTGAGAAACTGCTTGAAAAATATAAGGAGGAAAGTAAAGCAGCCCTGCCACCTGAGAAACGTCCCAATACTAATGCTGGCAAACGAGGCCAAAATCGGGGCCGAGGTGGCCAACGAGGTGGAATGAACCAGTTTAATAGAGGTGGTCAGAGAGGACGTGGTGGATATCAGAATCGTGGCAACTTCCGTGGAGGTATGTGTATTTTTAAGACAATCTTGCACAATGTCTTAAGTTTCCACCTAAGTTGGAAACCTGGGAAGTAAGGGTATTAGGAGATTGATGCTTGAAGTTGGGATATATAAGGAAATGGGTTTAAAAAGATAGATATGTCGTGAAGTAATATAATGGCTGTGCAGGCTCGATGGTTTGAATGAACGTTCCTGTTCCCATGAGATTGCCATTTAATCTGCCAGTCTCCAAAAATACTTAAATGTTATGCTATTTTCTTTCCCCTCGATCGTCTCCATCTGTCTCGCTGAAGTAGTATTTGTTAAAAGATTGAGAGGGAGAATACATATCCACTTGCAGGATTATTTTTCCTAAAGTCCCCAAGGTTAAGGATGCATAAATTTCAACATTTCCATATGCTCTGAAAATTGTACTTCTCTGATTTAAATAACCATAGAGCTGTGAGAAACTTTCTCTTATATTTATAGGCGCAAACCGTGGACAGTATAACAACCGAAGAGGGGGAAATAACATGATTCGCGGCTTTGTTCATAATCAAAGCTTCAGCCCAAGAGGAGGCTACAATAGAGGTGGCTTTATCGAAAGGAGTACTTACAGGGAGAGGGGTGCTTACAACAACAGAGGTGCACCGAACAACCACAGGGGTTCAGGCAGTCAAAGAGGAGCCTATGTACAGGTAAGGAACATACTTCCTTCACTGAGTAATTGTTTCTTTCTGGTGGCAGACTGGGCCATTTTCTTTGCGGCATAAGTAGTCAGGTCTTCTAAGTTAACTCTAAACTGTCTGTAGAAACCGATCTTACCAGCCAAGTAACTTGATCTAAAACCAACGGGCTGATTTTCAAGGTTAAAGGAGGCAAGTGTCTAAACCTCCAGCTGTCACGGCTGAGCAAGTAAAAATAGTGCAACCAATCCCCTGGTGAGGGAGCTGGATAAGACAGGAATGAGATCATGTATCAGATTAGGTGGCTTGTGCATTGATGCAGCCTGCTGTCTTACAACTGTGTGATCTTTAAAGTCAATTCACTTTAGAGTATATTCTGTGAAGCACTTTGAGACATCTCGAAGACGTGAAAAGTGCTATATCAATTGCAAGTATTATCTTCTTACCCAGTTGAGTTTAGTCAGCCTGGTTCAGTTGACATCATTCTGAATCCAAAGGCTGTGGGTTCAAGCTCCCATGTCAGGACTTTTGAGCTCATGGTCTAAGCTGATACTCTGGTGCAGTGCTGGGGGAGGACGGTATTGTCGAAGCTGCCATCCTTTTAATGAGACAGTAAACCAAGTCTGTTCAGGTAGCTGATCAAGTCCCATGAACCTATTCGAAAAGAGAAGGGTGTTTCTCCTGTTTTCCTGGCCAACAATCCACTAGATAAAATAAGCCATTCACTTCATGGCTGATGATAGATTGTGGCCTGCAAAATCCACAATCTGTACTCCTGTAAATCCTGTGAAGCACTTTTTTTGCAAATATTATGGTTAGTCCATAAAGAACTATCTGACTTCTACATGAAATCAGTGTTGGAACATTGAAGAATGTGATTTTAAAATTATTGTATTTAACCTTGCAGAAGAAATGAGGGTATAATGGAAACCTTGGTCTTTTGCAAGATACACAGTGGTTGGCTGACTTTTTTTAAACATTAAAAGTTGTCCTTTTTTCCTAGAATTTCAGGGGCAGGGGAAATAATCGTGGCTATAACCAAGGCTACAGAAATGAAAACTTCAACCAAGGTCAGGGCTACAAACAAAACTGGAACCGTCACCACCAAGTGGTAAGCAACATTCCATGAAATGGTACAGAGAAATGTAAATTGACCTGTAACTCTTTAAATGCTCTGAGATGCTACCCCTTGCAAAGGGTGCTGTATAAATGCAGATTGTTGTTTACAATGTGTTTTAATAAGAATTATTGTATTGAAATGCAAAGAATTAGTATAACCCTTAAAATGCCACTGGTTTATATTCAGTATCTGGCTCTGTAAAGAGGTGGTTTTCTTTCTCTCCTGCTCTTGACTCAAATGATTTCTGTTTTTGCTAAAACCATTCGGTGAAGAGGAACTGAAAAATACAATAATTCTTGTAGCTTTAGCTTTTAAAATGGGCCTCTTTTGGTCAGCTAGGTATCTGACATATAGAAACTCATTGCTTTAAGTACTTTACATTTACAGTACTTTAATCTTGAATTTTTAATCTAGAAATTGCAAGTTGAATGTATGCATTTTTATTTCCCGTTTACATGCTATTCTGCTCTCCATTTCTCACATCCTGTTCTGTGTTTTGTCTTGCAGCAGCGACCTCAACAGTTCTGGAGTCAGAAGCCATGGAACCAGCAGTTCAGCAAAGACTACTACTAATGTCTGCACTGAGTGAGCCAGCGTTGGTCTCGCAGTGCCCGCAACTTCAACCAAGAGATGTCAACTTTTTTAATCTTGATTTTTAAACATTCCAAAACAAAGTGCCTGCAGGTCGTATTTGGAAGCTTTATCAGTTAATTGATTTTTAAGTGTCTTTTATTTTTTTACATTATAATTGTAATGTTAAGGTGGAATGTGATGAACCTCCCAATTTCTAGAGGATGAAAACATTTTCAGTTTCTACACTTTTGTTTTCTGTAAAATTTTATCAATAAGCCCCATGAACTTGTGCTTTGTCTCTCTTGCTCATGCTGTCTGATTTCAGTCAGTTTATTGTGCTTTTTATAGAACTGCAGCATGTGCATTCCTTATGCTGCTAACTTTAGCTCATTAGAAAGATATCTTGTTTACTGTTGGTAGGTGTTTTTTTCCCCTTCTCTCCCTTTCCCAAATTGTATTCCCTTCTCTCCTGAAGATGGTGACTCCTGCTGGAAATTTTGCACGTGGATAGGATTGGGCTTAGCTATGATTTTCCCCACCTAACTCCCCAATGGTTATATAACTTGCGAATAAATAATTCTTGCATTTGGTATAGCGCCTTATCACGTCTTCTAGACGTCTCAAAGCGCTTCACAGATTATACTGTAAAGTGGATTGACTGCATATTTTGTGGGCGATACTCACTGTCCAGCACTTGGAGGAATAGCCAGTTATGAAGAATTCCTATTGCTGTAGAATCAAACCCACGTATGAGTAACCATGTTCAGCAGGGGAGGGGGAGGATAAAGAAAGTAAGGGCAAACTGCCAGGGAGCACAAACTGAATAATGGATGCTTGGAAGGCAGTTTTAATATTAGACAATCTTGTGATATTTTCAACAGTGAGTGAAGCAACACGTTTATTAAAACCAGCAGAGAGCTGATTAGATGTGTGGCCCTTTTCTTTCCACCTCCCCTCACCCTCCCATTCTTCGCCAAGCAATCTTGTTCATATATTATAAATACTTAATGTGTTTATATTATAAATACTGAATGTGTTCAAATTTTAAACTGTGGTTACTCACTGTTGCTGCAAAGTTGTGATGTAGCACAGTTAATAGGCTGGGGAGTTGCATAATGAAAATGCCATTGTGATATTAACTCACCATCATGTGATTGGTGAAGGGGTGTAGAAGTAGACTAGTGGAGAATTGTGCATTCAGCTTGTGTTATACTGTAGTCTCTCCTCTTGAGTTTTACATGTTTGAATACCTACAGTTGAGACAGAATGTTAACCCTGGTGAGTTCAGTAATATTACTGCAACCATTTCAAAATGTAATTGGTTACATTCCAGGAAATACCATGAATTGAAAGATGATCTTTAGCTTTATACACTTCCATTGCTTGTTTAGAAATTTACCGTAGATGACTCGTGCAGATTTATTAAGTTGGATTGAAGGCCCTCTGATTGAAATTTACTTAGATTAATTTTCAAAGAGGATTATTTGTTTTAAAGTTGGGGACAAGGCTGGTGACCTGATCTGCTGGATCAGTTTCCTTTTGGGGTGACCCTGATGGTTACTTTTCAGAATTTGTGTCAGTCATGGAAAGTATCTGATGTGTTTTTTTAAAAATCTATTTCAAGTACAGTGTTGCTTTCATATTAATAAATACTTGTCTTTTGAGAAAATAAATGGAAGTGGAATCATTGCATTTCATTAAACATACAGTCTACTTACAATTATATACCAAACTAAGTTTAAACATGTGAACTCCACAAAAAATAAGTTGTTTCAAAGGCAATGCCATTATATAGTGCAATATCAACAGAACATACAGCATGGAATGAAAGCAATGTACTAACACGCCTGCAATCTGTTTTCATTGAAAATAAGTTCATCTCTAAAAATGTATCTATAGAATCTAGTTATCTACGAACCCTCCCAACATGATTCCCTTTCAAACAAAGGGTGACCAGAACTGCATTGGCCTTGTATTCATCTATGCAGTGTCAGAATATATCACCTTTCAAATGTCATGTATACACAACTGGTGTTGGTAGATTTACATTGATTTCCAAAGACAGTGACTGATCAATAATTTTAAGCCCATTACCTCTGCTAATAGTTGCTTTACATTTTGTACAAATTTTGGGTTTCTTGTCCAATTACCTTATGTGATGTTAAAAGACGTTTCTGATAAGCTCAACTTGGGCTTTAGAAAGCCTTTGAAGTTAGATTCTGTGTCCCCTAAGCCAATAGACCTTTAAAGTTGATCCTCAGCTAAGTCCCTGAGCAAAACGTCAAGAGTCCTGGTTCTTATCAATCACAAAATATGGTAGAAGCACAATTGACAAATACATTGCAGGGTTAAATTATGCTATTCAATCTAACCTTCATAATTGATGAGTTAACAAGATGTGAATTTAGTGTTATAGAAGTCTACATAGACTGTACGTGATGTTCCTATCCAGTATGCAAATTTTGAGTAGGTATAAAAACTGCAGTTAGAATGCTACAAGCATCTTGCATTTCAAAATTTCGTGGAAAATACTGTGTAGCCATGGAAGCTGTTTTAATTGAAAAAAACTTTCATTATGGTGAAAAGATTATAACCCATTTTAAAAATATGAAATCAATACTTTTCTATAAAAGGAAAAAGGTTACTGGAGCTTTCCTGACTAGTCAGTATGTCCAGGAGATTACCTGCCTCCCACCCTTCTCGAGGATAATTTGTTTCAGACAGCTATTGAAAACGTACCTATGTTTTCAAGTGCAATCAGTGCTTCTGGAATGAATACTGATAATTGTTCTGTTGTAACTCCACATCAACGCTTCAAGTGGCTGTAAGTAGACCTTTAATAAAGTACCACTAATAGCTATGCCACCAGAAGAGTTCCTAATATTACAAACATTAACAATCTACTTCCATGTTAGTCATCAAGCCTACAAATACACAGTCACTAGAAGTAACAGAAAACCCTGAAATGCTTTGAGATGCATTTCAGGGTTTTGATGTGACATAACAAATTCCAAGAACTGCAAAATAAGGTGTTTTTGTGGATTGGAATCTAACATTTGGTCTAAAAAAGTCTTTTAAAAAAAAATTGGCCAACAACCTGCTTGCAGGTATGTTTGGCAACTCACACAGTTGCTACACTTGACAATTTTCTATGAAGTGTCTTGAGATGTTTCAACATAATGGATGCCATATTAAGTATAATCATTATTTATTATTTATTGTATGGGTATAAATAGCAAGCTGCATTTATCTAGCTCCTTTCATAGGCCATACAGCCCCTTGAACCTGTTCTGCCATTCTATAAGATCATGGCTGATCTGTAATTATCTGCCCTTGCTTCATATCCCTTGCTATCCTTACCTAACAAATATCTATCCACCACAGTCTTGAAAATATGAATGTAATTGAGGCATCATTTCCTCTGATTTATATTCCAGCTCACTTGAGCCAACATCCCATTAGCTTTCTTGATAACTTTTTGTACCTGTGAGCTTGTTTTTAGTGATTTGTGTATGTGTACATACATATGTATGTGGACAAATTCCTTTGCACCTCCACAATTCTTAGTTTCTCACCATTTAGAAAATATTCTGTTTTGCTATTTTTGATAGTGGATGACCTCATACTTCCCCACATTGAATTCCATCTGCCACAGTTTTGCCCACTTACTTAATCTGTCTAAATCCCTTTGTAACTTCCTGCAACCATCTACACAATTTACTGTGCCTCCTACCTTTGTCATCTGCAAATTTTGATATAAAGCTATTCCTTCAACCAAGTCACTTTATATATTTTTATATATATATATATATATATACACACACATATATATATATATATACACATATAGCTGTACCCATTGCAGCTTTGCTTGCAACCAAAGGATCCAATATGGAATGTAGATTGACACACAGATGGACATTTCGCCTTTAATATATTTTCTCCCACAGTCTTATCTGTGTATCTCTCTTGCTCTCTGTCTGTCCATCTCTTTCTGTCTTACTCTCTCTCTCTGTCTCGCTTTCTCTGTCTTAGTCGTCTCAGAGCGCTTTACAATAACGAATCCCGGGGCCGAGCCAGGGGGAGTGGGGGGAAGGTAACCAAAGGCGCAGTCTAAAAGAAAGGTCTTCAGCAGAGAACTGAAAATGGGACGGGAGGGAGTGAGACGAAGGGAGTGAGGAAGGCAGTTCCAGAGCCTCGGGGCATAGTGGCTGAAGGCACGGCCGCCAAGGGTGGAGCGGAGAACTCTGGGGACGAGGAGGAGGCTAGACCCGGAGGAACAAAGGCAACGGGTACTATTTTGAGGAGAGAAGAGGTCAGAGAGGTAGGGGGGTGCAGCGGAGTGGAGGGACTTGAATACAAGGGTGAGAATCTTGAAATCGATCCCCTCTGGGACAGGCAGCCAGTGCAGTCTGGCAAGGACTGGGGTGATCGGGGAGCGGAGTTGGTGCGGGTAAGAATGCGGGCGGCAGAGTTTTGAATTATTTAGATTTTATGGATGGTAGACCGGCGACGAGGGAGTTAGAGTAGTCCAGCCGAGAGGTGACAAAGGCATGGAACAGGGTTTCAGCGGCTTTTGGGGAGAGGTATTGGCGGAGACGGGCGATGCGTCGCAGGTGGAAGAAAGCGGTGCTGGTGAGGGACCGGATGTGGGGGAGGAAGGGCAATTGGGGGTTGAACCTGACCCCTAGGTTGCATATGGGTTCGGAGAGTTTTAGTGGGAGGTCAGGTAGGTGGAAGAGGTGAGAGCCGTGAGATTTTAGATGTTGACGAGAGCCAAAGAGTATGGCTTCCGTCTTGTCAATGTTCAGCTGAAGGAAGTTTGCACTCATCCAGTCCCTGAGATCTGACAGGCAGCCTGACAGAACATCAGGGGACTTTTTTTCCCGCAAAGAGAGGTGGAAAAATAGAGTTGGGTGTCATCTGCATACATGTGGAAATGTACCCCATGTCTGCGGATGACATCCCCAAGAGAGAGCATGTAGATCAGAAAGAGGAGGGGGCAAAGGGTGGATCTTTGGGGTACTTCGTAGGCGGGTGAGTGGGAGGAGAAGCCGTTTGTGCAGATGTACTGCTGGGGGTTTGTGAGGTAGGACTCGAACCAGGCGAGTGCGGTCCCACTGAGGTGGATGACGGAGGAAAGGCGGTGGAGGAGGATGGCATGATTGACAGTGTCAAATGCGGCGGAGAGGTCCAGGAGGACAAGGAGGCAGAGGGAGCCCTGGTCACGGATAGAGAGGATGTCATTTGTGACTTTCACAAGCCCAGTCTCTGTACTGTGGGCGGAAACCGGACTGGAGGGGTTCGAAGAGGGAGTGGGAGGAGAGGTTTGCGCGGAGTTGGTGTGTAACAACGCGTTCTAGAACTTTTGAGAGGAAGGGCAGGTAAGAAATAGGGCGGTAATGGCTGGGGTTTGAGGGATCTAGGGAGGGTTTTTCAGGAGTGGGGTGATGACAGCAGTTTTGAGGGGAGCAGGGACCGATCCGGAGGAGAGGATCTGGTTGATGATGTCAGCCAGTAGTGGGCAGAGGAGGGGGAGCTGGGTGACCAGTATGTTGGTGGGGAGAGGGTCGAGGCAGCAGGTGGTGGGTTTCATGGAGGTGATGGTGTGTGAGAGGCAGGAGGGAGAGATGGGAAGGAAGAAATGTAGAATGGGGGTGGTGGTAGGAGCAGATGATGAGGAGGGTGAGGGGGACAGAGAATGCGTGGTGGTGGGTGACAAGGGGCAGGTGGATGAGGCTGCCTGGCAGGTGTTAAGTATTTTAGATGAAAAGAAGTCCATGACCTCCTCGCACTTGGCATTTAATACGAAGATTGAGGAGGCCTGAATGGGGGGCACGGAGGAGGTAGTGGGTGGTGGGAAAAAAGGATTTTAGGGTTGTGTTTAACCTCCAAGATGATGTTGGAGTTGAATGACGTTTTTGCGCGTATCAAAGAATGGTGGTAGCTGTGGAGATGCTCGAGCCACAGTTGGCGATGGACTGTTAGGCCAGTTTTCCGCCATCTGCACTCGAGCAGATGGGTTTGGGTCATCGAGGGAGAGCCAGGTTTCGGTGAGCCCAAGAATATCAAGGTGCTCATCCAGGATGACGTCGTGGATGGTGAGGGCTTTATTTGAGAGGGAACGGACATTTTGGAGGGAAATGCAGGTGGGTTTGCTGGAGTGGGGAGGAGAGAGTGGTGCGGAGAGGATTTTGGGTTGTACAGGAGAGATGGTTATGGAGAGTGATGTGAGTGGAGAGTTGGGGAGGGTACGTATGAGGGGGAGTTGGGTTTGCCATAAGGAGGTGGTTTGAGCGGAGGGAACGAATGATGGGACACGTGGGGTTGCTGCTCTGGGACAGCCAGTACCTGGAGCCACGATGGGCCCGGCGGAGAATGCCCAGGCTGGAGCAGAGGGAAGTGGTGATGCGGTCGAGGAGAGAGAAAAGGCGGGGAGGGCTCTCTCTCTTTGCCTCTCTGTCTCACTCTCACCACCCCTAGTCTCCCCCTCTCGCAGTCTCCCCCTCTCAGTCTCTCTCACTATCTCAGTCTCTCTCTCTCTCCAGCCTCTCTCTTTCTGCCTCTCTCTATCTCAGTTTCTCAGTCTGTCCCACATGGGAGGACTCTAGCTCCCATGACAACCAGAAAAAAGTGCCATATATTTGTTACAGAATATAGATGTATCTCTGAA